TTGCTATTAAAGAAGTCCTACTTCATCCCGCTTCATGTTGAAGCGAAAATATGAGCTCCGAAATTTGGTTTCCGTATCCCTGTAAAAAATGGTTTCTGGGAAAAAAATAAGAAAAAAAAATCCATTACTTTCAAAAGTTTGTGAAAAAATACCCTAGCATCTTCAGCCTATACACGTAATAAACAACGATCATCACAAAACCTTTTAGGTTTCTTTAGTGTCCCTCCAATGCTCGAGTCATATTTCGGAGCCTTCAATGCCCACTCTTACGGACATATTATATACTTTGGTATAATAAAGTTACACACGACGTTTCGCACAGGAAACTTATGTCATCTACTCAAGACACTTTTGCTCTGTATGTCAATCAGTGCAAGAACTTTGACCTTCCTACTGTCATAATAAAATTTACCCGAAATTGCTTTTATTTGGCCATTTTCAACAGAAAGAACCTAAAGGCTTCTCTCTGTTCTGTCTCATACTATTCTTATAAGTTCTTTAACCCAATTATTATAAGTTACTTATACTGTCATATCAATAAGTCATCCCACAGAATGTCTGAACTATAGAATATCAATAATATTTTGCAATTTTTCTATTCGTGAATGCTCGCAGTAGTGACACCAAATAAAAAGCTGAAAACGGCAACTTTGAGGCTGGTTTTGATTCGCAAGGGAGAGTACCAATTGAAACGACCTGCTTGCACTTGTACTGCTTTTCCGGAAATCCAAACAATGATGAGGAAGCGAAATATACTATGTGATGGAAATCGAAACGTCTTTTTAATGGCGCTTTTCGTGTCCCTCATTGTTTAGGGTTTTCGAACATCCCAAAAGAGTACACACCCTAGAAATAAAGGGGCTCAGAAAAGTAATTGTGTTTTGTGCATGTTTAGGCGGTGAGATGTTAGACAGCCCCCATTGGCATGTTGTGTCTCGGCTGTAAATAAGAAATTTTCCCAGTGCAGCGCTACTGCCATCCTGGGGTCTTTAACGTGCATCACGCAGTAGTGATACACGACATCAGCCAGGTGCCGATACTCATCCATATTTAAACTGGCAGAGGCGTGGATTGAACCCACAAATTCCGGGGTCTTCAGCGCGAGCTAAAGGTGTCCATCGATCAGCCCAGTGTTAACATGTTGTTGCGACCCCGGAGACGGTCTCAAGTGCGAGACAAGGTGTCGGGGCTGTAGCTCACTGGCCGCATAGCACCGACAAAGTATACTCGAGTGGGAACATTGGGAAATATATTTTATGCACAGATGATTTGCATATACTGTATGTGACTGACAGAGATCAATTGAGTCCTCTTTGGTCTCTCTGAATTTCCGTTAAATAGACCCCAAAGGAGAGAAGGCTCGTTAAGAAAGGAGCTCTCCCCAGAGTGAAAGCAACACGTATTCGGTGAAAGCGTTCACGGCGTGGGCGCGTCTCAGGGCCTGGCACAATCGCGTCCTTTGGGCGCGGCCTATAGATGACAAAATACGTAGCCGCCCTTGCCAAGCGGCTGACGCAATGTGCTTGCAAGAGGTCGATGATCTCGCCGCTCGCAACGGCACGCACACCGCCATACACGCCGGTGTCTCTTCTCTTGAGAGCTGGTAGTCTTGGCTCGGCTGGTGGTTCCCGGGAGACGTTCCTCTTGGCATCGATGCATCCAGCGGAAACCAGAACTCAACTTCTTCAAGACACGGCTCTGCATATTCCTTTCGACCCTGGCTGAGGTGGGATACATGCTCGAGAGGTCTTCTCCTTCTTCATTATTCGTTGTTTTGGGAAAACCCACGACGTTCTTAGAGGTAGAACAATCTGTATATATACCCTGATAGTTGTGGGCGCAGCGCAACAATGCCAGGCGGGAGGTCACGAGCGATTGGACTACATTTCAAATGAGAGAGCACCAGTGTTGGGAAGTACTTTTAAGTACATTGTACTGAAAGCACTACTTCAAGTATGTTTATTTGCTTGAAGTACATTCTCTGAATGTGTACTTGTACTTTACTTAAAGCACCCTTTCTGTCACTTTCCGAGGAAAGTACAACTCCCGACTTCAAAGTACATTCTCTGAGTATGTACTTGTACTTCACTTAAAATATATTTTCTGGTACTTTACGAGGGAAATACAACTCCCGACTTCAAATTACATTCCCCAAATTTAGTCTTGCTAAATTTTTATCACAAAATGATCCTTTGCCGACTCTGAAGCAATACTAAGGGGGGGGGGGGGGGGGGCATATTCTACCTTGAGCCTACACGCGAGCAGACGATGCATCGCTCCGATTGGAGCGATGCGTCATATCGCTCTAACGGTGTATCGTAAACGGCGTATTGTAAACGGCGTAAATTGCGTATCGTCAGCTAAAAACGCGCTGAGTTTTTTGAGATGCCGTCTAATCATTTCTCTGAGTGAAGAAATGGCGGCTGTAAGACGAATTCAAATAAGTGCCTAAAATGTTGAGTATGTAAAATAGTTCGCCAGCGAGCGTAAGAGAATCACTCTGCGACTACTTGACTTCATCCAATATTTGCCATCATTTCCGGAAATACATGATGCACCCCCCATTACCCCTGGTGCCAGGCACGTAGCCAGGATTTTTTTTTTTTTTTTTGAGGGGGAGGGGGGCGGGGGCCCGCCGATGACGAAATGGTGTATGAAGGGGAGAGGGGAGAGGAGGTCCCAGCGAAATGGAAGATTTCGGGGAGGCCCGGTCCCGATGCCCCCCCCCCCTGGCTACGTGCTTGCAGGCTGGTGCAATGGGCGAGCTCAGTAGCGGCCCCCTCAGCTCCGAACGGAGTAACTGGAGTTACAAAAATGATCAATGAGTTTCAATTGAGTTTCTATGCAATTGAATGACTTTCAATTAAAACTCGTTTCATTTTTTTTTTTTTTTTTTTGTAAGGATGTCTTTGGAGCGCCTACTGAACGGAAAAAAAAAAGAAAGAAAACGCGGCTCCTAAACTGCTTCTATGCATTTTCCGTTTCCTCCCCTGTGCCAGACGGTTTCCGAATAAAATGGAAGCAGACGACGCCGAGCACGATCGCTTTTATTTGACGCCTGTTTGTTGAATGCACAGAAAAAGTTGCCTATCAGATCCCGCTGACGTGCGGCAGAAAGGATGTGGGACAGACGGGAAGATGCCTAAATGATAGATTGCGCGAACATCACCAATAAGTGAGCGAACTGCGTGAAGGTCGTTTGTCAGTGCACTGCCATGACTGTGGGTGCAAACCCGAATTTAATTGTGCACTGTTATTAGAAAGCATAGAGATAAGACGGTAAGAAAAATCACAAAGGAAGACCTCCTAAAAAATACGGGGATCGATGTGTCAGCGAAGCGTCGATCAATTTGGGCGACAAGGAGACACAGTTCTTGAGAGCATTGTGCGTTGCATGGGATTGGATGCATGGCGCGATGATGCAGAGTATTTATTCCTTTGCTTTTCTGAGGATTAACAGTTGAAATTAGCGCATTGTAGTTGTCTCGTTCTTACTCTCATCTCTGTCTTGAAGCGCTATCATGTTCTCAAAGTATCAGTACCAACTCGCTCAAGAATCCGCATTCCCCAAATTTGGTATTGTTGAATTTGTATAATAAAATTATTATTTGTCAGCAACTGGCTTATAAGTTGATTGCGTTAAATATTTTGTTATTGAGAGTAAAGCAATAACTTTGTGGCCGTTTGAAAAGGGTAGAAAGCGCTAAAAAAAACACGGGTCGAGACACGCAGAAAAACAACGACACAGGGCGCACTCTCAACTGAAGTTTATTCGAAAAAGTACACACTATTATTCCCAATGGGAACGCACAGTCATCAGTCAATCCCTGCCCAGCTCACATTTGTAATACTCATACTCATCCGTAGATCGGGCTAAACACGTTTCGCTGACGCACTTGTTTCCCTTAGCCCTAATGTGAAAATCCTCGTGTAGTTCGCCTGACACCTTGTTTTTGTATTTTGCCAAAAGTTGTGTGCTGTTGAATGACAGGGTGCAAGAGCATCTTCTGCAAACGAACAGCGAGATACCCTTGGCAATGTACTAACTGGCCCATCTAAGCACATTATTGCAGGCCATTTGAGTTTATGCAATATTCGCCGCCATGCCTCTCCCACAGTGTCGCCGGCGGTCAACCGGCGAAACTGTGGGAGAGCGAAAAAAATTATCTCGTTGCCATGACACCCCGGTACACCGTGGTCTTTCTGCACGTGCCACAACCTCGCTGGAGCTCTGCGCGTGTAGTACATGAGGCGGCACGAGCCGTCTTGTGCGTGCCCACGGGTCGACGAGTCACCTGCCGGCGCCGCTTGAAACCATAGTGAGAGAGAGTGAAGAGGGAACTTTATCGGGCACGTCGCGAGGAGCGCGCTGTCCTCACCTGAAGAGTATTATATTACACCGTGACCCCCGGTCACCCATAAGTAATGCTAACCAAATAAAAAAATAAATAAAACAGTATAGGGGAATGCAAGTTTATCATGTAAGATTGTAAAAAAAAACTATTTGTACTTTAGTTTAAAAGTATACTGTATTTATTGTACTTTACTTCAAGTACATGGCGCCCGGTGTACTTACTATTTTACTTGAAGTGCATAACCTCTCATTTACTTTGTACTTTATTTCAAGTAATTTTTAGATGTACTTTGTTAAACACTGGGAATGGCACGTGAAGTCAAGTCACACACGCTCGCTCGTTTCGGACTTTCTTTCGCATCTTTTCTTCAAGCAAGCACCTCCCCCCCCCCCCCCCCCCCCCCCTTTTCAGACTTTTTTTCGTCTCCGCTGCAAATAAAAGTGAAGTGTGGTTCCAGGCTGCCACCGCTGAGTGTGTGAAAGTGAAATCTTGTGGCATATATATAAACACAAGAAAAGAGCGAAACTTAGTTCAGAAAAAAATTGCCAGAAAAGTAAATAACACAGAGCTCGCGCAAGAAACTTTCATACTATGCTTCTGTTGATAAAGCAACGTCACCATCATCTCATCTGTTCACAAGACCTATTGCACAAGAAACTAGTTGTTTTATTTCCAAAGTGCAGAATTAAAGCGGGGGACATCTCTTCTTGGGGTTCATTCTGCTGCCCAGTTTACACTCAAATGCCTTTGCAAACGGCTGGTAATTGCTGAGCGGTACGTTCACTCTGTACTTCGCTGGAGACCACATGGCGTCATCCACGACTCTAGCTGTGTCTTCCTCTGGATCGCAGAACGACTGACCGAACATCAGGTAAAACAGCTGCTCCGAACTCACGCTAGGAAGGTTCTCGAAATGGAGAAACACATTCTGGAAACCCAGCGCGTCCATAGTCGAGATGTAGAAAAGTAGTGATGTCTTGTAGGCCCTGTGCAAGACGGCCACGGCCACATTGTCGGCCATGTTTTCTCTCAGAGTCCGCTGACCGTCGAGGGTCTTGTTGAGGGCGGGAACTTCGATAATGCTGTACTGGCGTTCCAAGCAGGACTTCATGTACTGAAGGTTTTCTGCCTCGCTGTCTGAACTGAACATGAACTTCTCCTGGAAGACGTAGTAGAGGAAGCGCGTCATCACAAAGCCCACGGTGGATGATTCGAGAAAGAACTCCCTTCCTTTTAGCATCAGCGGAGCTATGGAGAGCGGAACGCCGAGGACGTTCGTGTCCGGGTCAAAGTGAGACGTAAGTTCCAAGTTGGTGTCGTAGATAACTTCCCCAGATTTGAGGATCCGTTTCAGGTAGTTGGTGGAGAGTGCGACTTTCATCTTGACGTACGATACAACGATATCTTTGGGATCCGTCTCAAATGCGATTGCGGAATAGTAGTCCTCAACGTTGTCCATAACACTAAAGTAGCTAGGGCTTATGGACATAATCTCGTCTTCGATGCTGTTCACGGTTGTCATCGGACTTTGAGTTGCCGAGTCAAGAACGCTCCTGAAAGAAAACCAAAACAATAACATTTAAGAATAGCCGCGAGAAACTGCCTCTAAACGTTTGATTAAAATTAAAAAAAAATATTGAAGTCTGCAGTCTATCAAAAGCTGATTCATTGTAGTAAAGAATAGCTAAAAAAACATTAACGCAAATCTTACCTGTATGAATTTCTCAAAATGGCCTCTTTCATTCCCGCGCTGGTAATTACATCCAGTCGCACCGTTTCGTTGAAATGCTTCACAAAAATGTAGTTGTACAGTCTGTAAGTAAGAAGAGAACAGACCTCGCGGCTCACGTTCTCGTAAGATGCACTGGAGGCCACACTTCGGAGCTTGTTGAATGGTAGCAGATGGAGCATCACCTTGTATCGCAAATAGTCTTGCACCTGATTTGGTGTAAACTTCGTTAGCAACTTGACAAGGTGGCTAAAGTAGTCCGGCGACCTAACTACAATACACTGGTCCGGCTCAATGGGATCGACGAGACCTCCCAAGAACCTGCTCCAGTCCCATGCATCCGACTTCAGCCCTCGTAAGGTTGTAGTCTCGTATTCTGGCAGCTTCTGAAAGCTCTCGCTCCTCAATCCCGAAAATCTCTTCAGAAAGATGTCGATGTCCCTCACATTATGTGCGGCCTCCTCGCTGCCGACCATGTTTCGCACAAAGGCGATAAACGACTTCGAAAACGAGTTCGGAATGTCAAAAATGTGATCGCCACCAAAGTCTCCGGGCCTCTTAAGCACGATGCATTCGGTCTGACTCCTCGCTTTTTTCGTGATAGAAACATGGATGAAAGGATAAAGTTGTAACCCCTTCGCCAGCATGGCCAAACTATCCTCCACGTAGCTGTCCTTACCCCCGAGCTTCAGCAAAGCCATGACCCGACGAGTCTCATCTGGAGCAGCGTTGTGGGGCCCCGCTTTGCAGGCCCTGTAAAACGAAGTCACCTGGCTCGTGAGACTGGTGCGCTTCAGCCAACCTAACTTGGAAAACTTCCGGATCACGTCGTGAATCTCGCGTAGAAAGTGTTTCACTGCCGACTTGCGAACGGACGACGCCGGTTTGGTGCTGCTGCAGACGTAATCGTAAAAGTCGTCGCAGGGGTCGAGCGTCCAGGCGATGTGCTTCTGGAGCTGCTCGCCCTCCTTGAGACAGTGCTCCGAGGTGCACGTGTAGATGAAGCCCGAGCGCTGGCGTTGCCAGGAGAACAGGTGAGCCGCCTGGAACTCTCCGTGGAACTTAGGTCGGTGGATGTTCTTCACTAGGAACACGATGACCAGGGAGATTGCCAACGCCAAGGACATCGAGAAGACGGCCACCAAGATGGCCTTGACGGGGCGGGTGCTGCCCGCCCCAGGGTTCTCGGTGGCCGCTGCGGTGGTGTCCGCCATGGTTTGGCACCTGGACTCGGAGGTGCGACCGTTCGCCTGTTCTGGGAGCGCGTGGAAAATGTGCACGGGCGGTGACCAAGAGGCACGAGACCTGTTACCTCACTTCTTCTTTTTTGTGAGTGTATTCTTAATTAGAGTGCCTCAATGTTCTTCTGTTTAGGGTGATGCCATCGTTTGTAGTACCCGAGGCCGACAGCACGCGCTCACAGGGAAAATACAAAGAAATCGCAGGAAACAAAATGTCGTCGTAGCACAGTCAGCGCCACGAGCACGTGCAGGGACACGCTCTTTCACGCGCTTCAGAACAAAAAATAAAAATAAGCGTTAGAAACAAAATGGCCAGATGTCATCACCCCAAGCAAAGCGCACATGAAGGCACCCTATTCTTAATAAATAGGGTTTGAAGACAAGGTCAGGGTGTCAGAGCATCAAGCCACCAACGTGAAAATTATGTCCTGGCGGTGATACAAATTCCGCATGACGAAATCTGTTTTGAGTAGTGGTATAACCCCATAGCGTGTCAATATACTCTATATATTTATTTATTTTTATTTTCAATCTAATTTTTTCATTAGTAGTTTTGGGTTTCTCATTGTTTTTCCTTTGTGTTTTTACTGCTTCTAGTGACTTAAAGTTGCGATGGAGGCGAGTGGTTTCATGTTACAGCTGGGAACAGCGCACAAATAACAAAAAAGAGGAAGTTGTAGACGGGACTAAAGTCCCTTGAACTCTACCCTTGATAAAGGCGGTTTTTACAAGTTCCACCGACCATTGTTGTGGAAAGGCGCAAGACACCTGCCACGAGCGGGTGCTCCGCCGCCATTCGCTTCCAAGGGCCGCTCATTTTAGTGTTGCGCCGCCATTTGCTTCCAGACACGGGCCTCGTGCACTGGCGCATTTGACGCTGCTTGCAAGACAAGCGTGAACACATCAAGCGGCTTTACACTCCGTTCATCTTTAATAAGAAAGCTCCGCCTTCAGCGCGAGCTCGCTGGCTTCCGCAGAGCTTTTGTTGGGCGTGCCTGCGCGTTCACACCAGTGTTAGCAAGGGCAGAAAGCTCGCGAGGAAGGCGGAGATTCTAACCTCAGTCGTAGCCTCCTCTATACAGACAAAGCCTGGTCTTGGCCTGGCGGACCACTGTGTGACGCGGCCGCCGAAAGTGAAAACAAATTGTTTACTATACTCCGTTTCACCTTCTGTTGTACCGCAGCGAAGGCTAGAAGCGCGAGCTCATAACGTTGGCAACTGCCCTTAATGCACGAGAGCTTGTGCCGCCTAGATGTGCCCTAGAGCAAGGAGCTCGCGCTTGTAGCCTTCTCTGCGGTACAACATAAGGGGAAACAGAGTATAGGGGGAATACATCTTTAGTGCCTGCATCGCGACTGCTGGTGTAGGTGGTTTGGGGCTCGTCAAGCTGTTTTTACAGCTTTTTTCCCAAGTCACCTTTTCAACATTGTTTTTGTTGGAAAAAATAAAGGTACTATTATTATTATTATTATTATTATTATTATTATTATTACATCCCACTCCGCTCATTTGCATTAGACAGAACGCCTACAGCGCCGAATCCTGCCCTGACAAAGGGGAGGTCCGCGTCAGCCCACGCGCATGTGCACGTGGATGTTCGCGGCAGCCGCGGCGGCGTCGTCTTCGATTCCACCCACGGTGATTCCACCTAAAGCCCCTTCATGTTTCAAAAGTATAGCGCAAGGTCAGTCTATGCACGAGGCACGTGCAACGCGCGTATGCTATTTCACTGATGTGCGTGACTACTATGGTGTAGTTTTGGAATTTGTATTCTGTAAACGAGAAAACATTATTGCTTCTTTTCTTTCTTTTTTTTAATGCGCTACCGGCTGCTGGTCAGCAAAACATTTTGTCTTCAGTCTGTTTATTTGGCTCCGGAGAGCCGCGGCACCGCGGAAAGACAGCAGCCCGTACCTTGGAGGCCCGCGTTGCCGCGTTGCCGCGTACATGATAATATGATGAGTATATACATGCATAATGACGACGACATGGATTGTTGGTATTGGGGAGGATAACAGTTCGATTCGCAGAAGTCCAGATTTCGTGGAGGCGGGTTGGGCGGGTCAGCAGCGAGCTGGGGGATCTGGCACGCCGTTTGATCGGTGCATGAAAAAGCCCCATGGGACATGATGGCACTGTTGCTCACTGGGGTCCACTGCGGTCGAAGCAGCAGGTTTCGCGGAGCTAGCCCGGTCAAAGTAGAAGCTGCCGCTCTCGAGGAACCAGGGCTCAGATTGAGGCACCGCTGTCGCCCGGTGTGTCGTCTTCTCAACGTGGTCGTCGTTGTGTTTTTTATGCATACACGTATATATGTATAAATAATATAAGATACATAAAAATACACACAATCGAACGGCCAGCGGCGCGCGCACCGGGCACTGCCTTTGAAAAAAAAAGCCAGCCTCAAAGAACCACAATCATCATCATCATCATTTACCACCCAGTAGACGAGACCTCCCCGACGATAGATGGCTCTCGCCAAGCCAGAAAACCTGTCCGCGCCGAGGCTATTGTATTTTCGAGGAGTGGAATGCATTCCCCCTAGTAAAGTATTTGGTGAAAAAATAGAGCGGCAGACGACGGCTGAGAGGAGAGTCATGTAACGGGCGCACCGCTGCGGTGAGACGCCGAAACACACTTCTCCTGAGCGATGGAATGTCCGTTCGTGCTCCTTGCTGCGTTCCTCGCGCGTCCTCGCCGCTGCAGCAGCTGTGCGCTCACTACTAGCTTCCCGAGAAATGTTCTGTGCTACCAGATCCTCTCGCTCCAAATCTGCGACCGGGCGCTCTGTAGCTCAGTCGTTGAATTGCAAGGCTTTGCGAGTATAGAGGAGGCTATGTCCCAGCTTAAAAGGGTACGGAAACGACATCCTCTTCTCGCTTCAAAATCAGTCAGCGAGAAGCGCGATGCGTATCGCGCTCGTAATGTCGATGGCTCCTGCATGGCCAAGGGTGCTGTAGTTGCGAGCGTGGCCTTTGTTACCTTTGTTTAATTTTTACTAATTTCGTCTTGGTCTACTGTGCTTTAGTCTTTCTAGTCTAACAATCTTCTTAGAGTGCCCCGGTTAGGAAAAGACCTATTTCTTCTTTTTTAGCTCCAGACACTTCCTTCACCTTCTTCTTTAACGTTGTATATAAAACCGTCAGTTGTGAGTTAGCGCCTGTCCTGGGGGGATAGGTGGCCGAGTGGGCTAGCGCACACCAGCTCGAAGCACGTGGAGTGAAAGCTCGCGCTGCAATCCCCACCCCTGCCCGTTCCGATCTGGATGGAGGAGGAGGAAAAACTTTATTTGTCTTAGGGTGATTGTTGAGCGGGCAGGATAGGGGGCTTATCCCCGCCTGGTGGCTAGGAGTCCATGGACCCCAGCGACCCACTCAGCCCGTTGGGTGACCCTGTCCTGAAGGACCGGGTCCGAGCTGAGCAGCGTGGCCTCCCACTGCCCCAGGGTAGCAATGCCAGGCCCGTCGGGCCAAGGGTCCTTCGGGCAATTCCAAATGATATGGGTTAGGTCTGCCCTCCCATGGCATAGCGCACAAGAGGGGGTGAAGAGGCCTGGGTGTATATGGGAGTAGAGGACCGGATTGGGATATGAGTTGGTCTGGAGCTGTCGCCACGTAGTGGCTTGAGCTCGAGGCAGGGAAGGGTGTGGGGGAGGGTAGATGCGCCGCCTTAGTCGATAATGGTTTGTGATCTCGTGGAAGGTGACCAATCGGTCCCGGGCCGTGCGAAACTCCATCCCAGGAGGTGCGGGGTCCCCAGCCCGGTCGGTGAGTCCTCGGGCGGAAGTGTGGGCGGCCTCGTTGCCAGGAAGGGAGGAGTGCGCAGGGGTCCAGATTAGGTGGACAGAATGGTGAGGAGGGTGTGTGGTGAGAAGGCGTAGGGTGTAGGGGGAAACTCGCCCCTTCATGAAATTACGGATAGCTGTTTTGGAATCGCTAACGATTGTGGTGGCGGAGGTGTTGGTCATCGCCAGAGCAATGGCGAACTCTTCTGCCTCTTCTGAAAGTGTAGTGTAAAGAGTTGCGGAGGTCAGAAGGGAGCCTGCATCGTTAACCGCCGAGAGGGCAAACGCCTCTCGGCGGGTGTATTCAGCGGCGTCGACGTAGCCCTTACAGAAATGTCATATCTGGACTTATATTAAAAAATACAGATATGGATATATAAGGAATTGGGCAGATATGGCCAGATATCCATAATCAGGCCATATCTGGACTGATAAAGCCATATCTGCCCAATTCCTTATATGCCCATATCTGCCCAATTCCTTATATACCCATATCTGCCCAATTACTTATATACCCATATCTGCCCAATTCCTTATATGCAATATATGAACTGCTTTATATGATCCCGTGTTTGGGCCTGGCAAATAGGGTATCCACCCGATATATAGCAATTTTCATGCGATGCTCCTTCAGAATCACATGAAAATTATTTGCATGGGGCAGGTACCCTATTTTCCAGGTCCAGACATGGGATCATATAATGCATTTCTATGAATATCCACATAATATACATTTTACTGCTATCCCACACTGCCAAACGTGTGTTTACGTATAGATATATCTACAGAATAGGCCACTGACCAATCCTTATTGGTCTGGTTCGGAATCTGTCATTCCAACAAATATGTATGCTACAAATATAGAATGGAGGCGATCGCTAGCTCGGAAACATTGTAACATACCATTCGACGTCAGAAAGTAAACAGCCCTTTGGCGGGATTGGTTGTCGAGGGAGCAGACCGAGAATATGGTTTGCAAAAAAAGTTTTATTTATAAAAGCGCCAAAACTCTAAACAAGTACTTCCGCCATTCAAGAAAAAATGATAAGAAACAAAACTGTAATATAGCACGGACAAAGATTAAAGTAGTCTAAAAATGTAATAGCACAAAGACACCTATTAAATAAAACAAACGGAAGGCAACAATTAAGCTGTAAACTATACGAAAGTTTCAAAGTCGTTGATTCCTACTCACAGAGTCACAGTCCTGATTCAACTCTCCGGT